CACATCATTTGCCACGTCGGTGCCACGTGTCGGCCACGTCAGCCCTTCTGTTGACCAGTCACCCTTCCAGAGGATTGATCTAGTGCTTCGCGGCTAAGGTACACCCGTAGATCTGAACTGTCCAAACTGTTTTGGCTGATCTGAGCCATTATGTGTCTTTTTTAAACGATCCAATAGTGGTTTCCAACTATTTGGAGTATTCCGGACACATCTGTACTGTCAGATTTTGCAAATCCTATTTTAAAAATTTTCATCTTGTATTTGGACAATCTGAAGTGCATTTCCGACTAATTTGACTAGTCCGGACTCAACAACAAAGCCTATTTTTCAGATAGAGATTATTTTTTGTATAGAAAAGTGTTGATGAAAGAATCAACGTCGACTTCAGGATCTATGTTCAAGTTGACTCCTTCCAATAATGCAATTTGGAAGTCACGGATGGAAGACACCCTGTATTATAAAGACCTGTTTGACCTATTTTTGTAAAACGGGTTAAACCAGAAGCAGTGAAGGATGATAACTGATAAAGATGAACCGCAAGACTATTGGTTGTATCAGAGAATGGATAGACCATGGTGTGTACCATCATGTCGCCGAGGAGACCGATGCCTATTCTCTATGGACATTGTTAGACGATATGTTATTGTCAAAGACATTGTATGGTCGTGTCGGACCTTAGTAGAAGATACTGTGTGGTCGTGTTGGACTGCTAGAAAATACACTGTATGGTCGTGTATATAAGCAGCCCAAAGATATACATGTATATATATGTATATCGCGCCCTTAAAAGTCGCGCCCAATACATCAAAAGTCGCGCATGACACTGTGGCTTCGAGTGTCGCGCGATTCACATGGCTCTGGCTCCCATTTGTCGTCTTAGTCTTTGCATTGTCTATTTAAACCAAGACTGAGGTTAAGGCTGGTTAGAGATTGAAAGCAAACCAAAGCGATGAACTCTGCAACCACTTTCGTCCACTCTGCAACCCCCTGCTTGTGATGCCTTTGATATGGCCTCCTCTTCCCGTAGTTTGCTCACCCTCTTTCCAGACCTAAACGAGTCCACAATAGAGATAACCGGTTCTGTTGCCCTTGAACCGCAACCAAGTGCCCTAGACCAAGCGCCCCTGTTTTTGCTCCGTTGAACTTTCCTATGCTGTCAGTTGAGCAAATAATGGCAGCTCAATCTAACATTGAGGCCAACCATTATACGCTGAAGTCATGTGTAGAGACCATGACTGCGGTCACTAACTTGTCTTACCGGTTGCAGAATAGGACAAGTGAGGTACAACAGTTAAATACCCAACTCTCTCTGCTGCAGTGCATGTACAAGAATGCGCGAGCAGAGATTTGCGCGCTGAAGGCGGAGAACAAGGAGTTGAAACGGAAGGCCACCGTCATGGTTCGATTCGGAGGTCCGCCATACGCTGCGTTTGAGGAGCAGCGGGGAGGCCACTTGCTCGGTGGACTTGAATGCATTGAGGCAGGGCTGTCAAGTGTCACCCAAGACAAAGGCTAGAGGAAGAGAGCGGCGGCAGAGTCTAGGAAGTGAGGTCGGTGGGTGGCCGTCAGCAGAAAAGAAAACAAATCCTTTGTTGTTGTTGTTGGTGGTGGTGTTGGTGTTTTTTTTTTTTTTTTTTTTTTTTAATTTTTTTGTAAAATGGTGATCGGGGTTAGCCCCGACATGAATAAAATAAGTTCGTCTTCTTCCTCTGTGTTGTTTTTTTTTTTTTTTTTTATTTATTTATTTATTATTTATTTTTTTTGTTTGGGAAAGGAAATAAAAGAAAGAGTGGAAATATCAGAAGGCGTGGGAATCGGTGAGCGAATAAAGGGGATATAAAAAAATAAAAAAAAATAGACAAAAAGGTAGTGGATTGAAATAGTAAATAATAAAATAAGAAGAGAAAGTGGGGTGTGCTTGCGGAGGTGGCATTCGACCACGAAGTTGGTCTCTCGAGCCACAGTGTCCCCCAAAAGGGAGTAAATAAGATGTGTGCCGAAAATCGGAGCAAACGGAGGTAGTTAGGCGGTCCCGAACTGAGGCATACGGTCGTCGGCTCCGAAAAATCGAAAACCGGGCTCCAAATGGGAAAAATGGCCTACGACCACGAAACGTAGCCTATGGCCATTGAGAGATGATCTACAAGACCTCTCCCTCCCTTCGGGAAGAGAAAACAGTGAAAAGGGAGCCTGGTTCGCAAACCGTGGCAAGACACGAAAGAGCCCGAAAGTCCGGAGGCAAGGCTCGCAGCTGAGACTCTGAAACTTCTGAACAAGCACAATATGCACCATCACCGAGCGCTCAATCGGTGATGTCTGAGTCTTAAGGTTGGTCAAAAATGGGGTGTCTACACGGCTCCACCGTTGGTGGTGGTGTTGTTGTTGTTGTTGCCGCTGTTGTAGTGGGGGCGCTTGTGGCCACCGAGGGTATATCAGAGAGGTAAAGAGGTTTTGATCTGTTGGATGTTCAATGATGTGTTGAATTTGGTGGGTGATTATGCTAGGCTTCTCTATGTGGCAAGACTGCTGGGTACCATAGCCAAACCCAAGAGGAGATGCATGAGTTGGTTTTGAGTTTTGCGGAAGTTGGGGCTATTGTTGTAAGACTTAAAGGAGGAGACCCTCTAGTGTTTGGGAGGGGTGGGGAGGAGATGGAGTTCTTGCAGCAACAAGGGATTCAAGTGCAAGTCATTCCAGGCATTACTGCTGCTTCAGGAATAGCAGCAGAGCTGGGCATTCCATTAACTCACCGGGGTGTTGCAAATAGTGTTAGATTTGTGGGGTTTGTGCAAGCTGCAAAGAGACTAAAGACGGTGTTAAGGCAGAAAACTCCAGCGGGCAGCGAAGGCAAGGTTGTTGGCTTACTGCCCGTTGGTGAGAAAAAAATACATGCCTAAATCTTATAACTCTGATACCATGTTAATTTATTGTATTCAGAAAAAGAGAGAATAAATTGTGTATTCATATAAATTGAATCTGTGTTATGGCCTCCGTTATATTGGAGAAAATATGATACAAACACCATCATGATACAAACACTATCATGGCCATTATATAAAGTGGCCGAAAGGAAAAGCTTAAAGGAAAATGCCACTGACTATCCTATCTATACATTAATCTGTGTACATCATTACACATCATTATACATTATATAATATACATTAACAGTATCAAAAAATTCATTATTGTGAATAATATAATAAATCATTAGCTAAAGAACATATTAAGAAAAAAAAAACAGAATACATTTTATACATGACAAAAAAAATTGCAAAATTGCAAAATTGAGGGGGGCACGTGACCCCCCTCGGTCTATGTTGCCTCCGCCTCTGTTTACACTAATGTATGTGTTTTTTGTTCTAGCTATTATCTCTCCTTTGCCTTTTCATGATTCCATATATTTTTTAATTTTTAATTTTTTTAATTTTTAATTAATTTATTTTTTTAACATTGTATTTTGGTGAATTGCGATGTTGCTTCTTTTCAGAGCTGAATCGGTTGTGTTTCGAAAAAACAGAGTGCGTTTCTTTGAAACTGCCAGAAATCAAGTTGCTCAAAATCAAGTTTTGAGCATACCAGGAGCAAGGTCTCGAAGAGAGGAGTCCAAAACTTCAAAGCAGAGCTCCAGAAGACTCTTCACGCGCCCACATGCGCCCCCTCCAAAGAAAGCTTGTGAAGCCTAGTTTCACCACACACCTCCACGCGCCGTTGACACAGTCGGCGCGTCATCCCTCGCGCACACATGCGCCCCCGCGCGTCTGAAGGAGGAAGACAAGCCACGTCAGTGCCACGTGTTGCCACGTCATCCGCCACATTGGTGCCACGTGTCAGACTGTCAGCCACGTGTCGGCCATGTGCCAGCCACGTCAGCTCTTCAGTTGACTAGTCAACCTTCCAGAGGATTGATCCAGTGCTTCGCAGCTAAGGTACACCCGCAGATCTAAACTGTCCAAACTATTTTGGCTTGATTTGAGCCATTCTATGTCCATTTTTGACGATCCAATAGTGGTTTCCATTTATTTGGAGTATTCCGGACACATCTGTATGGTCAGATTTTGCAAATCCTATTTCAAAAATTTCCAGTTCGTATTTGGACAATTCGAAGTGCTTTTCTGGCTAATTTGACTAGTCCGGACTCAACAACGAAGCTTGTTTTTCAGACAAAGATTATTTTCTGTATAGACAAGTGTTGATGGAGGAATCAATGTCAACTTCAGGATATATGTTCAAGTTGACTCCTTCCAATTATGCAATTTGGAACTCACAGATGGAAGACACCCTGTATTATAAAGACCTATTTGAACCTATTTTTGTAAAAGTGGTTAAACCAAAAGCAGTGAAGGATGATGACTGGATAAAGATGAACTGCAAGACTATCGGTTGCATCAGACAATGGATAGACCACGGAGTGTACCATCATGTCGCCGAGGAGACAGATGCCTATTCTCTATGGACATTGTTAGACGATATGTTATTGTCAAAGACATTGTATGGTCGTGTCGGACCTTAGTAGAAGACACTGTGTGGTCGTGTTGGACCATTGGAAAATACACTGTATGGTTGTGTATATAAGCAGCCCAAAGATATATATGTATATATATATCGCGCCCTCATAAGTCGCGTCTAATACATCAAAAGTCGCGCAAGACACTGTGGTTTCGAGTGTCGCGTGATTCACATGGCTCTTGCTCCCGTTTATCGTCTTAGTCTCTGCGTTGTCTATTTAAACCGAGGCTGAGGCTGAGGCTAGTTAGAGATTGAAAGCAAACCAAAGCGACAAACTCTGCAACCACTTTCGTCCACGCTGCAACCCCCTTGCTTGTGCTACCTTTGATATGGCCTCCTCTTCCCGTAGTTTGCTCACCCTCTTTCCAGAACTAAATAAGTCCACAATAGAGATAACCGGTTCTATTGCCTTTGAATCGCAACCAAACGCCCCCGGACCAAGCGCCCCTGTTTTTGCTCCGTTGAACTTTCCTATGTTGTCAGTTGAGCAAATAATGGTAGCTCAATCTGATATTGAGGCCAACCATTATACGTTGAAGTCATGTGTGGAGACCATGACTGCGGTCACTAACTTGTCTCACCGGCTTCATAATAGGACAAGTGAGGTACATCAATTAAATGCCCAACTCTCTCTGCTGCAGCGCATGTACAAGGATACGCGAGCAGAGATTTGCGCGCTGAAGGCGGAAAACAAAGAGCTGAATCAGAAGGCTACCATCATGTTCCGATTCGGAGGTCCGCTATATGCTGCGTTTGAGGAGTAGCGGGGAGGGAACGTGCTCGGTGGACTGGGAAGCATGAAGGCAGAGCTGTTAAGGGTCGCCCAAGACAAAGGCAAGAAGAAGAGAGCGGCGACAGAGTAGAGGAAAGAAAAAACCAACCTTTGTGTGTGGTTATTTGTTTGTTTGGTTGTTTGTGGGGTTTTTTTTTTTTAAGACCGATGATCGGGGTTGATCCTTGATATGTATAAAAGAAGTTTGGTGGACAAACCGGATGGCATGAACTAGTACAAGACTGAGTTGAAAACTCAGGTAGTGGGAATGTTGAATTTTTTTTTTTTTTGCATATAGAAAAGTAAATACACATGCAGTGAGGAACATGGATGGGGGAGTATTATGGTTTTATCGATAGATATATATACTGAGAGAGTTGTGAACCATGTGGGTTGTATAGGAAATGGCGGTGGAGGTGTTATGTAGGGTAGATAAACACTTAATTAATATATAATGGAGAGATATGGTATAGATATGTATAGATATATGTTAGTGGGGTGAGAGAAGATTAAAGAAAAGTTTAAAATATGAGAGAATGGGGACAAGCCCATGTGAGGGGAAAAAAAAAATTTGTACTTCATGATTTTGGTTGATGAGTGGCTCGGTTGATGCAAGCCTGCCATAGGCCATTGTTGAGAGAAAGTGAAATGTAGACAGAAGCAAAGTGAGAGGGGGGGATTCCGGCAAGGTGGGTAGGTTGAGGTCGAATTCACGGTGGACGTGACCCCAACCGGCACCTTCTGATGAGGTGACACCGCTACCAGCTCCACCGTTGGTGGTGGTGGTGCTGTTGTTGTTGCCGCCGTTGTAGTGGCGGTGCTTGTGGCCGCCGAGGGTATATCCGAGAGGTAAAGAGGTTTTGATCTATTGGATGTTCAATGATGTGTTGAATTTGGTGGGTGATGATGCTAGGCTTCTCTATGTTGGCAAGACTGCTGGGTACCATAACCGAACCCAGGAGGAGATGCATGAGTTGCTTTTGAGTTTTGCGGAAGCTGGGGCTACTGTTGTAAGACTTAAAGGAGGAGATCCTTTGGTGTTTGGGAGGGGTAGGGAGGAGATGGAGTTCCTGCAGCAACAAGGGATTCAAGTCCAAGTCTTTCCAGGTAATACTGTTGCTTCAGGAATAGCAGCAAAGCTGGGCATTCCATTAACTCACCGGGGTGTTGCAAATAGTGTTAGATTTGTGGGGTTTGTGCAAGCTGCAAAGAGACTGAAGACGGTGTTAAGATAGAAAACTCCAGCAGGCAGTGAAGGCAAGGTTGCCGGCTGACTGCCCGCCGGTGAGAAAAAAATACAAGCCTAAATCTTATCGCTCAGATACCATATTAATTTAATGTATTCAGAAAAAGAGAGAATAAATTGTGTATTCATATATATGGAATCTGTGTTATGGCCTCCGTTATATAGGAGAAAATATGATACAAACGTCATCATAATACAAACACTATCATGGCCATTATATAAAGTGGCCGAAAGGAAAAGCTTAAAGGAAAATGCCACTGAGTATCCTATCTATACATTAATCTATGTATATTATTATACATCATTATACATTATATAATATACATTAACATTATCAAATAATTCATTATTGGGAATAATATAATTAATCATCTGCCAAAGAACATATGAAGAAAAAAAAAAAAAAAAAACAGAATACATTTTATACATGACAAAAAAAAAAATTTGCAAAATTGCAAAATTGAGGGGGACACGAGACATCCCTCGGCCTATGCTGCCTCCGCCCCTATTTACACTAATGTATGTGTTTTTTGTTCTAGATATTGTCTCTTCTTACCTTTTCATGATTCCATATCTTTTTTAATTTTTAATTAATTAATTAATTATTTTTTTAGCACCGTATTTTGGTGAATTGCGATGCTGCTTCTCTTCATAAGAATAAGGGAGGGTTTATATTGTAGAAAATAATAATATTCTGTTTTCTTGGCAAATGGTTATGGACGTTCTCTCTTGAAAGCAATTATTTTTGGTATGCTGTTAGGAATATGGTGTTAGTCCACTGCGCAAATGGAGAAACCACTATGGATAGTGGAAGAAGATAGGTAAGATGGCTCTCCCACTCTTCCACTCCACCAACCCCACTAGCTAGTGGAAGGGGTAGGTGGCAACCAATAAGCACCTTCCTCAATTGTGTATAAATTGAGGTGAGAAGGAGGGGTTTGATATAGATTGCAGAGTGTGTAATCTGTGAGAGATTGTGAGCAACAAGTGTGAGTGAGAGTGCTATAGAGAGTGTTTGTGAGGTGTGAGTTGTAATCTCCTTCCGCGAAATTCTATAGTGGATAGTTCTCCGTGGACATAGGCAATTGCTGAACCACGTAAATATTCTTGTGTTATTATGTATGATTGATTTTTGGTGTCTCATAGTCCCAACAAGTGGTATCAGAGCTGAATCGGTTGCGTTTCGAAAAAACGGAGTGTGTTTCTTCGAAACTGCCAGAAATCAAGTTGCTCAAAATCAGGTTTTGAGCATACCAGGAGCAAGGTCTCGCAGAAAAGAGTCTAAAACTGCAAAGCAGAGCTCCAGAAGACTCTCCATGCGCCCACACGCGCTCCCCAAAAAAGCGCGTGAATCCAAGTTTCACTACGTGCCTCCATGCGATGTTGACACTATCGGCGCGTCATCCCATGCACACACACGCTCCCACGTGCGTCTGAAGGAGAAAGACGAGCCACGTCAGCGCCTAGTCAGCGCCACATATTGCCACCTCATCGTCACGTCATCCGACACGTCATGTGTCACGTCGGTGCCACGTGTCAGACTGTCAGCCACGTGTCGGCCACGTCAGCCCTTCAGTTGACCAGTCACCCTTCCGGAGGATTGATCCAGTGCTTCGCGGCTAAGGTACACCCGCAGATCTGAACTATCCAAACTGTTTTGGCTTGATCTGAGCCATTCTATGTCTTTTTTAAACGATCCAATAGTTGTTTCCAACTATTTGGAGTATTCCGGACACATCTGTACTGTCAGATTTTGCAAATCCTATTTAAAAAAAATTTCAACTTGTATTTGGACAATCTAAAGTGCATTTCCGGCTAATTTGACTAGTCCGGACTCAACAACAAAGCCTATTTTTCAGACATAGATTATTTTCTGTATAGACAAGTGTTGATGGAGGAATCAACGTCGACTTCAGGATCTATGTTCAAGTTGACTCCTTTCAATAATGCAATTTGGAAGTCACGAATGGAAGACACCCTGTATTATAAAGACATGTTTGACCTATTTTTGTAAAAGGGGTTAAACCAGAAGCAGTGAAGGATGATGACTGATAAAGATGAACCGCAAGACTATCGGTTGTATCAGAGAATGGATAGACCACGGTGTGTACCATTATGTCACCGAGGAGACAGATGCCTATTCTCTATGGACATTGTTAGACGACATGTACCATTGTAAAAGACACTGTATAGTCGTGTAAAACCTCAGTAGAAGACACTGTGTGGTCGTGTCAGACCGTTGTAGCAGACACTGTGTGGTCATGTCAGATCGTTGGAAAATACACTGTATGGTCGTGTATAAAAGCGGCCCAAAGATATACATGTATATATATATCGCGCCCTCAAAAGTCGCGTCCAATACATCAAAAGTCGCGCATGACACTGTGGCTTCGAGTGTCACGCGATTCATGTGGCTCTCGCTCCTGTTTGTCGTCTTAGCCTCTGCATTGTCTATTTAAACCAAGACTGAGGCTAAGGCTGGTTAGAGATTGAAAGCAAACCAAAGCGATGAACTCTGCAACCCCTTTCGTCCACTCTGCAACCCCCTGCTTGTGATGCCTTTGATATGGCCTCCTCTTCCCGTAGTTTGCTCACCCTCTTTCCAGACCTAAACGAGTCCACAATAGAGATAACCGGTTCTGTTGCCCTTGAACCGCAACCAAACGCCCCCGGACCAAGCGTCCCTGTTTTTGCTCTGTTAAACTTTCCTATGCTGTCAGTTGAACAAATAATGACAACTCAATCTGATATTGAGGCCAACCATTATACGTTGAAGTCATGTGTGGAGACCATAACTGCGGTCCCTAACTTGTCTCACCGGCTTCAGAATAGGACAAGTGAGGTACAACAGTTAAATGTCTAACTCTCTCTGCTGTAGCGCATGTATAAGGATGTGCGAGCAGAGATTTGCACGCTGAAGGCGGAAAACAAGGAGCTGGAATGGAAGGCTACCGTCATGTTCTGATTCGGAGGTCCTCCATATGCTGCGTTTGAGGATCAGCGGGAGGCAACGTGCTCGGTAGATTGGAAAGCACGGAAGTAGAGCCGTTAAGGGTCGCCCAAGACAAAGGCAAAAGGAAGAGAGGGGCGGCTGAGTAGAGGAAGGAAAAAACCATCCTTTGAGTGTGGTTGCTTTTTTGTTTGGTTGTTTGTGTTTGTGTTTGTGTTTGTGTTTTTTGTTTTTTTTTTTTGTAGACCGATGATCGGGGTTGATCCCTGATATGTATAAAACAAGTTTGGTGGGCAAACCAGATGGCATGAACTAGCACAAGTCTGAGTTGAAAAATCAGGTGGTGGGAATGTTGAATTTTTGTTTTTTGTATAAAGAAAAAGAAAATACACATGCAATGGGAACATGGATGGGGGAGTATTATGGGTTTTATAGATAGATATATATACTGAGAGAGTGGGGAACCATGTGGGTTGTATAGGAAATGGTGGTGGAGGTGTTGTGTAGGGTAGATAAACACTTAATTAATATATATTGGAGAGATATGGTATAGATATATGCTAGTGGGGTGATGGAAGATTAAAGAAAAGTTTAAAATAAGAGGAGAGAATGGGGAAAAGCCCATGCGAGGGGGAAAAAAAAATTTGTGCTTCATGATTTTGGTTGAGGAATGGCTCGGTCGATGCAAGCTTGCCGTATGACATTGCTGAGAGAAAGTGAAATGTAGACAGAAGGAAAGTGAGAGAGGGGATTCCGGCAAGGTGGGTAGGTTGAGGTCGAATTCACAGTGGACGTGACCCCAACTGACACCTTCCGATGAGGTGACACCGCTACTGGCTCCACCGTTGGTGGTCGTGGTGCCGTTGTAGTGGGGACGCTTGTGGCCGTCAAGGGTATATCCGAGAGGTAAAGAGGTTTTGGTCTGTTAGATGTTTAATGATGTGTTGAATTTGGTGGGTGATGATGCTAGGCTTCTCTATGTTGGCAAGACTGCTGGGTACCATAGCCGAACCCAGGAGGAGATGCATGAGTTGCTTTTGAGTTTTACAGAAGCTGGGGCTATTGTTGTAAGAGTTAAAGGAGGAGATCCTTTAGTGTTTGGGAGGGGTGGGGAGGAGATGGAGTTCCTGCAGCAACAAGGGATTCAAGTGCAAGTCATTCATGGTATTACTGCTGCTTCAGGAATAACAGTAGAGCTGGGCATTCCATTAACTCACCGGGGTGTTGCAAACAGTGTTAGATTTGTGGGGTTTATGGAAGTTGCAAAGAGACTGAAGACGGTGTTATGGTAGAAAACTCCAGCGGGCAGCAAAGGCAAGATTGCCGGCCGACTACCCGCCGGTGAGAAAAAAGACAGGCCTAAATCTTATTGCTCAGGGACCATGTTAATTTAATGTATTCAGAAAAAGAGAGAATAAATTGTGTATTCATATATATTGAATCTGTGTTATGGCCTCCGTTATATAGGAGAAAATAAGATACAAACATCACCATGATACAAACACTATCATGGCCATTATATAAAGTGGCCGAAAGGAAAAGCTTAAAGGAAAATGCCACTAAGTATCCTATCTATACATTAATCTATGTACATCATTATACATTATATAATATACATTAACAGTATCAAATAATTCATTATTGTGAATAATATAATAAATCATCAGCCAAAGAACATATTAAGAAAAAAAAAACAAAATTCATTTTATACATGACAATAAAAAAAATTGCACAATTGAGGGGGGCACGAGACCCCCTCGGCCTATGCTGCCTCCGCCCCTGTTTACACTAATGTATGTGTTTTTTATTCTAGCTATTGTCTCTTCTTTCCTTTTCATGATTCCATATCTTTTTTAGTTTTTAATTTTTAATTAATTTAATTTTTTAACTCTGTATTTTGGTGAATTGCGATATTGCTTCTCTTCATAAGAACAAATGAGGGTTTAAATTGTAGAAAATAATAATATTGTGTTTTTTCTTGGCAAATGGTTATGGAGGTTCTTTCTTGAAAGCAATTATTTTGGGCATGCTGTTGTGAA